GTGTGTGTGTGTGTGTGTGTGTGTGTGTGTGTGTGTGTGTGTGTGTGCGTGTGCGCGCGCGTGTGTCCAGAGGACATTCATAATCATTTCAAGAGGTATGAGGTGGAGTATCTGCAGTTTGCTTTCCGGTGGATGAACAATCTGCTGATGAGAGAGCTGCCGCTCCGTTGCACTATTCGTCTCTGGGACACCTACCAGGTAGAGCAGAGTGTACACCACCTACAAACCTTCACAGTAGAAAGTAACCCAGTACAACAGCACAAACTGCTGCCTGAAAAAAACTACTGTAGAATTCACCTATACACTCACTCAATTATACAGTATTTGTTACTCTTCTTGGTTTTCTGCAGGCTGAAGCGGAGGGTTTCTCCCACTTCCACCTGTACGTCTGTTCTGCTTTCCTCATTGAGTGGCGCAAAGAAATCCTCTCCATGGTTGACTTTCAGGTACCGATCTGTCCTCTTTGTAGTCATGCACACTTAACTGAGAACGTAACTGCTAAATATTGATTGAAGTACCAACAAATGATAACAAGACTTACTGTAAAGACTGGTTTATGGAAGCAAAGAAAAATGATGTGATCATTTTGATATTAAAAGCAACTGTATTGAAGAAGACTTGAAACTAGAGATTGAAACCATAAACTCATGTTTACAATGTTTACTGAGGTAATAAATCAAGAGAGAAGTAGTTGTTTTCTCAGACTTCTATACAACCAGAGGAGTCGCCCCCTGATGGACATTAGAGAGAATGCAAGTCTAAAGAACTGTTATTAACCTCTACCTTCCAAAATAGTGTCAATGTAAATGTAGATTTCTGTTGCTCTTCAGGGCCTTCTTATGCTACTGCAGAACCTTCCCACAATCCACTGGGGCAACGAGGAAGTGGGTCTCCTCCTGGCTGAAGCTTATAGACTGAAGTACATGTTTGCAGACGCACCCAGCCACTACAAGAGGTAGGTGCGAGGCCGCCTCCCAGCAAGCACAGTCCCCCCTGAGATCAGACCAGACTGTGACTGGAGGGACCGCCAGTATTCAAGACACTCCAGACGCCCATGTCTTGTGTTTGAGGTGACCTGGAAGACACTGAAGCCACAAAACTTCTCCTGTGAAAATGAAGTCCAGTGAATGTCCCAGTGGATTTGGGTTAATGGTGCTCCCACAGAGCTCAGTGAATATGAGGCTATTTGCAGTGGATGGACTGCACTGTTTCAATGGACTGTTACAGTATGAACACAGCTATGCCACCTTGGTTAACTTATACTGGTTTGGTCATGCAACATTAATTGTCTCTCATGTGAAACGTACACTCGGAAGAACACGCTGTGGTATAAACGGAATGATGATTTTAGTGAAAGATTGCTCCAACAGATTATATTTTCTTGTTTTGAAGATATGTTTTGGTATTTGTTTTAAAACTCCTATACGTAAACCAGACAAATACTTTATTTTCTCTTTTAAAACCTACTTAGTCTGACACTGTCACCCTTATGTTTTGGTCCAGGTTTACCAAATTTGCACTGTACAATCAACTTCTTGCTTTTGGGACTTCAGTGAGTCAGTTTGATTGGTTGCCAGTATGGATATTCTCAATTGTATTAGGTATTAGACCTAAGAGTAGCAAATATTAGGTACTGTGTTTTATTTCAAGTTGGGTTTTGTTTTACAAGTGGAGAAACTGATTTGGTATCAGTTGGCCTTGGTTATCATAAATCAGCATCTTCAATCACAATGAGGCTCTCGGGTGTAATATATATCACCACTGGTTCAATTAGAGTTGTACTGCCTCTGAATAGACAAGGAACGATGGAGACCTTTTGGTTAATGTAGCTTTGAAATTCCTTGCTCAATTATTTTATGTTGAAACTAACTGAGATAATTCTAAATTTTATTATATTTTTGACAGAATACAATTTTAGTTGGAGATTGCTGCACATAGTATCACTGACACAAATAGAGATCAGTAACGGCTGGTCTGTTTTGTCCTGAGCTTTTTCAGACTTATTTCTTATTGATTAATGATGTAAATGATCGTATGATCCTCTATGAAGTATCTAATGAGATAACTGTGGTTACTGTAAACCTGCATATGCATAGAGGTAGTCAACAATGTTTGAGATCCTCAGTTGGGGATCATTTTAGCAATTGTTTATGGGGTTGGAGATATTTTTTTATGGAGGAGATGCCTTGTCAATGCTTGTTCAGTACTGAAGGACATTTAGCCCCACCATCCTACTTGAGACGGTCCTGTGGACACAGTGCAGCTCACAATGTTCTCCTGTCTTTTAGAGTGTACAGTAACACGGATAAATGCTTTGGTATCATTAATGCTCATGTTTTATATTTGTCTAAGGTTCACGTTAGGTTGCACTTGTATCTGTGACCATTCTGGCTGTGTGTGTGTGGGGGGGGCGGGGGCGGGGTGAATATGTGTGTTACTATCTAGCTTCATTACCAGTGATAATTATAACACAACGTATGTTTGAGAGATATGACAATCATTAGCCTATGATACTTTGATTTCTCTACCATACCTTTCTTTTCTTTGGTCATTTTGAAGCAAATGCTTTGTTAAGCTGTTGTCAAGTTTAAAATCTGGATTTCCTGTGCACTAGATTTCCTGGAGATTGTAGAATACAACAAATTGAATGGAGAAACATCTTTCATGATTAGTCTTAATTCATATTCAGGAATTATTAAATCCTTATGAAATATGGGGATTCAACCATAGCTTGAGGTCTATGTTACTTCATGGCATATGAAGTGCTCCTGAAGTCACCATGGTACTTAATGAGTCTATGAAAGGGATCCTTTTATTGCTGGAAAAACACGGCTCTATACTTATTTGTGGTTTATTCATTGCCTGTTTTTTGCTTTAAGCCAGCTATAATCTTGTGTTCATCAACCTTGTTTTACCCATCTAAAACATGTTGAATGTTTTGTGAGTGTCGTTGTTGAATATATGCCTTTAGCCTTAAAGTAGTTTCTTTTTTTCATTCAGGTGCGCCAACTGATTGTTCACTCCATGCTGTTTTTATCTAAAGGTCATTATGTCCTCACAATGTGATGTTGATAACTAAAGGCTGACAAAATAAAACCTTTGTTTCAGAGCTGTTTATGCTGTCTCAACAATAATATGCCAAATCTTTATTGGGTTTCAGTAATCAGGGCTGGTTTGAATGAAGAAACGTAAAAAACTTACAGTACACCTGCTGTCTTATCTTTTTGTTCATATTAAATGATTGTTATTCTTGATTTTGGCATTAGTGGGTGTGGTGGGTTATTATTGTCTTGATCCAATATGTCTTCTGTTGTGTTTTCATGTATTAAAGGTGATATAATGTAAAAACAAAGTAGCTATGTTTTGATAGCAACACATTGGTAGCTGACTCAAAAGTAACGTTACTGTCGAAGCTCAAACGGTGTTTTGAATTGGGGCAAGTGACGCGCCGGAAGTGATGCTGACAACACAGAAGTAACGTGAACGTAACATAAACTTCGGTTTCACTTTTTGCAGCCATGTCAGTGTTGTTTTCGGCTACGAAACCTGATGCTAACGCGACATACCGTATGAATTTAACCAGTTGGGAGGAGACCCGTTGAACTGCATCAGTGTGAGTGTCAGGCTCAGATGTTTTAGCTAACGAAATGTTCGTGCAGCTCACAACAAGCTAACGTTAGCAAACACGAAGCTAACCTGTGGTCACGCAGTACAGTGAGTAACCTTGCTGCCACCATGGCAGCATTGACTTTTCACTTAATGTACCTCTAGTTGCCATGTCATTTCTTAACTGAGTTTCTGTATTGCTTGTTTTTAACTGTAAGCTAGCTTATGATATCAATTATCGATAACGTTAGCAAGAGAGAGGAAGAAGCTAACAAGAAGGCACGCGCGCCCCTCTCCCTACCAATAGTTGACTAACGTTAGCTGTTGTCTGCTCGTCACTGTCAAACACCTTTTCTTTTTTTTAACGCACTGCTGAATCCCTGAGCCTTTTATTTTGGCTCTTGTTTATGTGTGAGTTCCAAGCTAATGACTCAAACTTCTACTGTCTCCTGCAAAGCAGCAGAGAAGCTTGGTGTGGGAGGATGGATGGCGTCAGCTGGAGCGCCACAAGGGCCCAGGAGTCGTTCAGCCGCTCCAAGACGGCAGCAGACACACTGTCGAGGCTCGCCAGCTTCATGGCACGGGCTGACCCAAAACAGCACACACACAACCAGAGGCAGCAACCGTCGCACCTGGCCACATATGTTTGTCAAGAATGTGGTAAGGGCTTTCCTTATGCAACAGATCTGTCGCATCACCAGGAACTAAAACACACATTACCCAAGCCTCACCGGTGTCCGTTCTGTGGGCAGGAGTTCTCCCTGAAGTCGTCCTTACAACTACATGAGTGCAATCATGACTCTTCCCCGTGTGAGCTTTGTCCTGGAGAGTCCCAGCTGGGTTCTCCGTGCCCCTCGTGCACAACCTCAGATCCCTGCAGGCTGCAGGACGAGTCGCCTCACCTCCTGGACGGTAGCCCTTACGCGTGTGCCCCATGTGGGAGAGGCTTCAGCCAGAAGCAGGCTCTGCTGCACCACCAGCAAGCTGGTTGTAGTGAACCACCATCCCCGTCAGATATAGTTGATGCCAGTAGCCTTCCAGGTGATTCTCCACCAGTTTCTGAGGGAGACTCGACCCGCTCAGATTCCTCAGACACCCCAGGGCCCAGCAGCAGAGCTGTCAGTGTGTGCCAATTCTGTTCAACAATGTTCCGCACAGAGGCCGGGCTGCAACACCACAAACAGACTAACCATGCAGAACAGGGGCTAAAGACCAAAAGAGAAAATACTAGTGGAGAAGCTAGGAAAGAGCGGAATATCAAGGTGAACAGAGATCTAATTCAAATGCCAAAATCCAAAACTAAGCTTCTGGACTGTCGCTCTTGCGACATGGTTTTCAGAAGCACCTCTAAGCTGTACATGCACAGAAAAGAGAAGCACAGCAGAGAGAAAAACATTATGACAGAACCATGGCCAGTCATAATCAAGCGCAGGAGATCATTCACATATCCATGTCAGATCTGCAGCAAAGTCTTCTTGCATCATTTGTCACTTAGGGCACATTACAGACAGCACACAGCCTCAAGCGTCACCAAAAACAAAAGTCAGCCTGTAGGATGTACCACCAAAGACTCAGAGTTATCAGAGAATGGATTAAATCAAGTAAAACCTAGCATAGCCGAAGACAAGCCTGTGAAGGCTGGTCCAGGGAGGCCCAGGAAAGTGGCCAAAGTAGAGAACAAAGTTACTGATCCAGGGAGATGCAGAGAAGTGCCGGAGGAGGAGGAGGAGGAGGAGGATGATGATGATGATGATGAACTAGAGAGAGAGTTCCCATGCCCCTCCTGTGCAGAGGTGTTCTCTCTGCAGTCGCGGCTCCGGGAGCACGTGGAGCTCCACCAGTCCTCCGTGAAGAGGCGACAGTGCAGCGTGTGCACAAGCGAGATGGACACCTGTAAATGGCCGGGCTCGAAGAGGCAGAGGCTGTACCACTGCGTGCCTTGCCAGCAGGGTTTCTCAGCACTGGACTCTTTCCTAGAACACTGTCAGGAGCACCTGCGAGTCAGGGTGGAGGAGGACAGCGTCACAGAGGGCTACGCACATCAGGCCAGCAAAGCCTGAGATCCAGTTTGAATGTCCACAGCGATTGCCTTTTTGCCTTGAGGGGTTAGAGAGTGGAGAGTGATGAAATTTCTATGATATTCTTGTTGATTTAGCAGTTCACTGATTGAGCATTCAGGACATTTTGTTTTTATACCTGCGCTGTCGGTTTAATGTTCTCCATACCAACATATCGAGGGTTGAATAGAATGACTTGTTAAAGGACTATACCAGGCTTTTTGCATGTTTTATTTAGGCATTTCACTATAACACTCATACTTCACTGCCAACCATATTCTAAAACATACTATAGTTCTTTTTAGATATTCAAATGTTTTCTGCATTCTAGGCAGCCACCTGGTTCTTGTGCAGTACAGTATGTAAATCAGCTTCTGTGAGATCCATTACAGTGACCATTTAGGCAGTGGTTGAGAAATCAAACAAAGCAAGAAGCAAAAGTGGGCATTTCAAACAGGACCATGTGTAAGAATCCCACAAGCACTCGTAATGAACACTTTTCTAATTCAAGATCCGTTTCAGCTTTATTACAGCATAGATATACAACACATCTTTGACTCAACATAAACCAACAGGTTCCCTGTGATGGATGAAATATTCTGGTGTGTCTGCAAATGGAATACATTGAAACCTTCAGCAGCCTTACAAGTAAAAACAAACATGCAAAAACACTAGTATAGTTCTTCAACAGAAATGGAACATCGACTCTACACCACTGTTTTGTACACAGCAGGACCTAGTTTCTCAAACATCTCAAAGCGAGGATGGTCTTTTTGGGAAATGAGGCCGTCTGCACAGTCATGGTACGTTCTAGCCAGAGATGACGTCTGTCAGTCTATTTTTACACCAGATATCTGGAGTGCTTTTGCTAAGTAAGGTAACATGTCTTCTGCTCTATTTTTGTTATTTTTCTTACATATTTGGCAATAATTAGTCACAGATCGGTGGGAAATGTGGTGTGTCACTTGCTGGATTGTCATTGCTGCGTGTTGTCAGGGTACTAGATGAAAATGTAGTGCTTTGGTCAAGACTGCAAAGTGTTAGCAAGTGCTGCGCCAAGGTCTGAATGAAATCACAAAGTATGACATGTTAACGTGCTCTGAGCATTTCTATGTGCTGTTTCGAGGCCCCAACATGTGGTAGTTATTGTCATAGAAAGATCAACCTTGGAATGGATGTCATGGGTAGTTGTATCCAGTACAATGCCTTTCATTGAGGCCTGTCTCTTTAGCTGGCATGTACTGGAGTGAGATTACCCAGCTATGCAAGCAGACAGCCTGATGGCAGCCCTTCAGTATGTCTGATGCTTGAAAAGTAGGCTTTGATGAATGAACAAGATTCCAAGGGAGGATTTCTGTTTCCCAGTTTGACGCCCTAAATGGTCTAATTTAGGTGGTTGTTTTTCTTAAGGATTTTCAGTTTTCAAAGTTCTACTGTGAAAATGTAAACGATGATTTAATAGGTTTGATGCTTCCACTTTTCTTTTTTTGAGGTCTTTTGTGAATTAGTTTATGGTTCTTTATAGATGAACATAATAAAAACAATTTTCATAAGATTTTTTGTCTTGATTCTTTAAACTAGTTTTGTGAAAACATTCATCTTTTCATATACCACACCACATTAAAAATGTTTTATATAAAGGTATTTGAATCATACTTAATGTTACACTGTTTTTGGCAGAGAGAAGCACACATGAAATGTAATGAAACATAAAATGTAGGCTTAACTTCATGTTGCAAACATATTTTTGTATTCAATTGTTAGATTTGTTTGTCCCTGCCTGCCTAGAATATCTACAGTATTCCATCTTCAGTTTTCTAGAAAATGTTTGGTCGATTAATAATGAAAATCAGCTGTGAAGATGATACCGTAATTTGTTATTCATTCAAGTTGATCTCCTTGCGGTCCCCTTTTGTACTCAAAACACTTGAAGTATGTCCGCTGAACAAGATCAGAAACTAACCGACAGTGCCTCCTCCCGGCCTCGTGGTGGCGGTGTGCTGAAACAGCAGCAACATAATGTCCACGATGGAGGCTTACCGGTGAACTTCCGGTCCCTCACGGCACGTTTTCCTTCCGTAGTTTTGCGAAGCGGCAAACATCTGATCAACTGTGTCGGTTTTAAGTAATTAAAGACAAAATGAGCAAAGCACATCCCCCGGAGTTGAAGAAGTAAGTTGTTGAGCTTGTTCAGATGAACCTGTACTGTTTATTTTGATCCTGCTTTGTATTCTGGAAAACATACCCGCACAGCAACACTGATACATTGTTAGCATCGGAAACTAGCTAGCATTAGCTAGCCTCTATAACTGGTAGCTATGTAGCTATCATCTGCAAGCCTCTCTAATGCAAGTCAATGCTGTTTTTTCTTCAGGTTCATGGACAAGAAGCTGTCATGTGAGTATAACTAAAAGCTGAAGTACAAGCTTACCCCGACAGTCCGTTTGACAGCCCATCATACTTTAAACGCACAGTACAGTTGAAATGGAAAGAGCAGAAAGAGACAAATATACTCTGAGCAACAGTTGAGTCAGAATAGAAGAGACCACCAGTCATTAGTAAAATAAACTGGAAGCTTGGCGTCAAAATGTGCAGATTTAGATACGAACGGGTTTATGTTGCAGCGTCAAGTTCACAGTAAATCAGCCCATAACGAGCTGGAACATTAACGGGAAACGTGTTCACAATAGGTTAGGTTAGCTCGGGTTAAGGACTGTACTATTCAGTCATTGAATGTTACTGAAATCTCAGTATGGCTTACTGCAATTTTCATATTTAAAGTCGAACTGTGTTAAATTAAATATTGTGGTGCTACAAAATGTCTTTTGCCTACACACCGTATTCTACAGACTTGAGGAGACGTATTCCCGCTAAAATCACATCATAAACATTTAATGTATTTTCAATGACAATGTCATTTCTTTTTACGTGGCAAAGTATATCGTAATTGTAATATCAGTCAAAATAATCGCCATTAATATATTTTTTTCACCATGGTTCAGCCCTGCTAGGGTTAGCTCAGTTTGAACTGGATCAGGGAATATCAGCCGAACAGTCTTTTGCAAGCAAACGGAAAGAACAGCGATGAACCCTAACTCGCAGGATAAATCGGTGCCTTCTTTCGTCCTTTCAGTGAAGCTGAATGGTGGCAGACACGTGCAGGGCATCCTGCGGGGGTTCGACCCCTTCATGAACCTGGTGGTGGATGACTCTCTGGAGATGGGCCCAGGAGGACAACAGAACACCATTGGCATGGTGGTCAGTATCTCGGCTGGTGGTTTTTTTAGATAATTGTCTACAGCTCTCATGTTGAACACGACTGTCCAAAATCCCTCCTACTACATAATGCACTACCCTCTGCCATTTGATTTGGTGGTCCAAATTCTAAGCTGACCACCACAATGACTGTTATGTGTCAGAAATCTCTGCTGACACTCACCATAGAGTAAACCATTTGGTGTCTGTTGGTTACGGTCTGTTTGGTTCCTACGACAAGGTTTATTTTCAGCTGCAGATTTGGTGCAAACTAACTGAAAACACTTGTGATGAGGCATACATCTCACGATAGTGCATCTTACTGTCCACACAAATGTTCACTTCACCACCTCCGGTAAAGTGCCGGCTAGATCGCCCTGATCATAAACGTTCAAACCAGCAGTGTTATTTGTGCTGATGCGCCGTCACATTCCTCACCCCTGGAGAACAGAACGGAGAAAGGAGAGAGCTGGACTCATTGCTACTGACACAGCTGTGGAGCATCATATCATCATCAGATATTTGAGACATAAAATAGCTTTAAATAATTGCAGAACAGAGTGTCAATAGTTTTCAATGATATCTTTTAATACTGTGCATGTACCATATTACGTTTACAGCCTATAGTTTTGCGTGTAAATGGCTGCAGAGAACACACACACTGCCGTCACTCGCCTCACCCGGCACATCCTCACCACCACAGATGGCCTTGGTATAGATATCTGTCCGTTTCAAGCAGATACAGAGAAACGGTGGGCTTTTTAAATCAAGAAATAATAATGAGAGCTGTACGTCGGTGACCTCATAGCTGGTTACGGCCACGAGGGGATAAATGATGGTACTTGCTCCTGACTGGGTGTAAGATTCACACCCGGTCTTAGTGAGGAGAAGGATTAAGCCTAGATGGTACAACAGGCCTAACTATTAGGTCGGGCTTAGAGCACCTTAGCTCAAGACCATGTGTAAACTGTTAGTGCAATTAGATGGTATCAGTTCCTTCGGGTGAGACAGACGACTGAAAAGACGAGGCTGAAACAGTGATATCAGGAGCTCTATTCTCTGTGATTTTAAAGGTGATCTAAATGTTACAGTGAAACCTGTAGGAAGTCTTGAATGCAGTGAGTTAACTCGGTGTGGTCTCCTTTCTCATAGGTGATCCGGGGAAACAGCATCATCATGTTGGAGGCCTTGGAGAGAGTATGAGAGCAGATGGAGAATGATCCACACCTTTTTACTTTCTGTTATCCTTTCGCTTCTTTGTTTTCAAAGCCTTTAATGTCTCTGAATTGTGGTGTGTCTATCTGATCAGTTATCTGATGTTTTCTTTGGACATATTTTGAATTGCATAATCTTGTGAATAAATCACTTTTTCTTTGTATTTTATGTTTCACTGTGTACAGTGTGTTACTAACATATGACAGGTTACTGTCTGAAGCTGCTGACATGTTCTTAACATGTTTCTGTAGCAACAGGCAGATTAACGACCACAGAGCACTGAATATTAGAGTTGGGTCAAACGTGATTGGTTGGGTGTGTTACGTATGCCATCAATTCTTAATGGTATGAAATGTCAACATAGAGTTGAATTTTAACTTTTGGAATCATAAATAATGGATAAACCTAAAAAGAAAATGATGAGATACATAAAGGCAGGACTGCATACTACTTAGATTGGGTAGTATAAATATGTGTGATACATTTCTCAACTGTCAGAAAAAATCCCAAACCATTTATACAGTGTTATCTATCATAATACAGTTGCATTAGGTGATATTACAAACCAATAAACAGGACTTCATAGCAGTATTTGATGCAAAAATGATGATGTATCTTCTTAACCTGTTGAGTATTTTATTTGCTGGATTAGTCAATAAAGAACATAAGCAATTCAACAGTTTTTTCAGAAAATGTACCATATATCAATATTGATATCACATTGTAAAACCACATAAATATTGATTGAGGATGTTATCCATATTCACACTCATGTCTACTACATTTACTATTTGGTCTCCATGTGATGCTCCGTTTGCAGAAATCTCAGTTAATGAGTCTTTGTAGTTTCATCAATGAGAGAAAAGTCTGAAAACCCTCCAGCTGTTTGAACAGCTGTGAGGATCCACTGCATGGTCCAGATAACAGAGAGCTGTTCCCTACTTTATCTAAAAGGCTGGTAAACAAGCTTCAGATCCCTCGTCTCTAAGTCAGTGGGTTTTTAATATAAATGTGGCATCATTTGATGTTTACACAGATTATAACAACTATTTGATAAATAATTCTATTTTTGCTTTTTTCAAACTATGGCATTTAAACAAATCTATCAACATAATGCAGTCATTGTCACCTCCCTTATTTTGTTTTATTGTGTAAAAGGTTTGTATGGAACAGTTCATGACTTGGAAGTTGAATGTATAAAAACTTAAATGTAATGAAATTAAAGCTACAACTGTTTAGTTCAGCTTTAGTGTCTAGAAATGGAAGACTCGTTTCCCACTTCTGTTCAGTTTTCATCAGTGAAGTATGTTCAGGGTTGAATGTTGGATTACACCACATCACACCGTCACTAGACTGGACTTCTCCTGTACTGCTAACAGTCACATCTGGATCAGTCAATGATGATGTAAGTAACTGTTTACAGTGTTTTCATTCTAATCATAGAAAGAGCAGGTATAAAAAGATACATAACAACCCTCCATTATAACTTCCCCCATGTTAGTAAGAACAAGACTTAAACACAATGCATGCTGGGAAGTGTGCTGACAAGCTAACAAGCTTTCTGAAGAACTTGGTTTATTGGTTTCAGTGTTCAAAGTTCTGAAATGGTTCCAAAGTATAAAAAAAATACCTTAAATGCTGGTCATTTATATTTCTAAGTTTGAACAACTTGTTATGTTTATCTATTTAAAATAATAGGAGTTGGTTGTTTTCCATTGCAGTACATTAGTATTCATAAGTTTATCCATCACTGTGGCTTCTTAATCACTTTTAACATTTCTCATTTAAACTAATAACAGAAAGCTGCTGGCAAACTGCAATACAAACGATAAAAATGAGAAAAGTGGCTGATGAGAAAAATAGTGTTAAAATCATATTTATATTAAGGAATCTGTTAATTCTAATTCTTATAGTTTCAAATGATCTGATCTCATGACTGCAGAGATTGATGGACTTTATTGAGAAGAGCAGGAGTTGGTGGTGAATGTTGAGGATGAGGAAGCTGCAGCTGGTTACCAGAATTGACAAGCGGCGGCCAGGGCTGTAGAGTGCTGCTGGAGGCAGGAGCTGAAGGAGGCTGCAGGTTGCTTGCAAAGGCCGTGGGTGGAGGTTCAAGTACCATTTTTTTTGTCAAAATCTGCAGGTGTATGAAAGTATATTTGTGTCTTTATTATAATTTGTGTAAAAAAAAAATGAAATCAAAAATCAAGTTTGTAAGTAAAAATATATAAACTGAGAATACATTATTTGTTAGTTTTGCTTATGAAACTAGAATTTTTGGCTGTAAATCAAAAACCTTTGCTTTCAAATCAAAAACCTACACTTTCAAAAAAGACAGCTTTGCTTTAATAAAAACACCACCATCCATCCATTTTCCTCCGCTTATCCGGGGTCAGGTCGCTGTGGCAGCAGGCCAAGCAGGCTGACCCAGACTTCCCTCTCCCCGGCAACATGTTCCAGCTCATTCTGGGGGATCCCGAGGCGTTCCCAGGCCAGCTGGGAGATATAATCCCTCCAGCATGTTCTGGGTCTTCCCCGGGGTCTCCTCCCAGTTGGCCGTGCCCAGAAAACCTCCAGTGGGAGGCGCCCAGGAGGCATCCTAATTAGATGCCCGAACCACCTGAGCTGACTCCTTTCGACGCAAAGGAGTAGCGGCTCAACTCCAAGCTCCCTCCTGATGACCGAGCTCCCTACCCTATCTCTAAGGCTGAGCCCGGCCACCCTACGGAGGAAACTAATTTCGGCCACTTGTATCCGCGACCTTGTTCTTTCGGTCATGACCCAGAGCTCGTGACCATAGGTGAGGGTCGGAACATAGTCCGACCAGTAAATTGAGGGCTTCGCCTTCTGGCTCCGCTCCCTCTTCACCAAGACGGTCTGGTGCAGTGCCTGCTTTACTGCACACCCACCGGGAATGTGTCTGACGTTTTGCCAAGAATACGAACACAGCTCCTACTGCAGTCGTACAGAGACCGGATGGCCCGTTGTAACGGGTCCGACACCCCATACTCCCGCAGCACCCCCCACAAGAACCACAGAGGGACCCAGTCGAAAGCCTTCTCCAAGTCCACAAAGCACATGTAGACTGGTTGGGCAAACTTCCAGGACCCCTCCAGTAGTCTTGCGAGGGTAAAGAGCTGGACCACTGTTCCACGCCCAGGACGGAATCCGGTCTCCCTTTTTGAAGATGGGAACCACCACCCCAGTCTGCCAGTCCATGGGCACTGATCCTGACCCCCATGCGACATTGAAGAGGCGTGTCAGCCAAGACAGCCCAACAGTGTCCAGCGCCTTCAGCATCTCAGGGCAGATCTCATCCACCCCCGGCGCCTTGCCACCAAGGAGCTTCTTGACTACCTTAGCGGCCTCTGCCAGGGATATGGGTGCTTCTCCATGGCCTCCCCAAACTCCTCCCATGCCCGAGTTTTAGCATCCGCGACCACTGCAGCTGCAGCCCTTCTGGCCTGCCGGTACCTCTCAGCTGCTTCAGGAGACCCCTGAGCCAACGAGGCCCAAAAGGCCTCTTTCTTCCGCTTGATGGCTTCCCTCACCTCTGGTGTCCACCACCGGGTTCTCGGGTTGCCGCCACGACAGTCACCGATGACCTTCCGACCACAACTCCTAGCGGCCGCATCTACAATAGAAGCTTTGAACATGGTCCAGTTGGATTCCATGTCCCCCACCTCCCTCGGGATGTGTGAGAAGTTCTTCCGGAGGTGGGAGTTAAAGTTGTACAAATAATAATATATAAACAAGCATTAAAGCTACTGCATATGCAGTTAACTTACCAAAGCTGTTGTTCACTTAAAGACAAAGTCCATCCTCCTTTCTTTGATTACAAAGAGTTTAATCTCAGAGTTGTTCGGTACATCCATGCATTTTAGTTCCAGTAAGAAGTCCTTCTTGATTCATGGACGCCAGTGAAGACAGTCGAGCCTCCCCAGTTGTATTTCTTGAATACGTTTTAATGCGTTTGAGGGCTGAAAATGTCCGCTCGACAGAGGCAGCAGATATTGGGATTGTCACCGCCCAACACCAATCACGTATGGCTAGGCCAGCTAGCAGGCTCTGACATGTCAAAGAATACGCCCAACATGTCAAACTAAAGATCTGATTGGTTGAAGACTATGACAATCAACAATATCGTCTCCATTCACTTAAACTGCAAAGGGATTCACTTCAGAGTCTGCAGGCTTCGGGCCTCTCTTCTTACCTAGAGACACAGAGGTGAAATCTGATTGGATAAAAGCTCTACTTAAAACAAGCTGCACTGGAAGCAGAGCAGCTGAGGAAGACAGTAGCTGTGCAATGAGAAAATAAGATAATGGGAAAATATTTTTATAAATTATAATACATGTAGTGTATTTAAGAAAAATTATTAAATTATAAAATAGCTGTAACTTTGTGATCCTGTTTAGGCCAGCAAAGAAGGCCTTGCAGGCCCTGATGGCCCACACTGATATATATACTGTATATACTGTATATATTATACTGAATTGCCTGTGAGGGTGACAAAAATATGATGTTCTGACGTGTTTGTCAAAGTGTTATTTACTGCTTTTTTTCATGTTGGAATAAATGTTAAATATTTAACTGCAAAGTAGTAATGCGTGTTTGATACCTTCATTTTTTTGCATTAAATCATACTGGGATGTTGCTGAAATTGATTGGATGGCCCTACCTAGAACATTTTCCACCAGCCGCCACTGGATGGGATGCTTCTTCAGTGTTTCAGTCACTTTCTCTAATACAAACCGCTTAGGCTATCTGATGTGTTAATGGATAAAGAATACCTTTGATACATGTGTTTAACCCTGTGTCCCACAGCTCCACTGTAAACACTAAGCTCAGTACGTCTGAGCTTAGTTTCTCCTTAACTTTTCATTTATCTCACTTACAGGTTCATAAACCAGTGAGGCCAGTGAAAAAGCGGGGATGTTACACTATGTAGCATCAAATACAAAATACTCTGTTTGGTGATCACAAGAACATCACGATTCACTCCAATGAAACAGGTTGGTTTAAAAACTGGCTGACATTTTAATTACAGTGAGTGTGACTCATCTGAAATGTATGTATAAAGAGATGCAGAACAACATGCCCAAATGAGCAAAAACATAAGGAATACATTTTGGTTATAAGAAAATTAAAATAGATACAATTAAAAATGTTATGATGGTAACACACTTCTAAAACCTAAAAATATATTTTTTAAGGTAACATTTATCATTACAACATTGTGGAGAGCAACTTCCGGTAACACCTCAAAGTAAAAGAAGAACTGACGCAGGAACAGTAGAGGGCGCTACATCTTAAGGACGCACTTTCTCCTCAGGCGGACTTTTATTTTGAAAGGCGATTGTCGTCATCGCGGAAACGTTTCTTTCCGTTTTATGTCGTAGCCGTTTGACCGTATGTGGAAAGTAGCAATGTCGGAGGAGGTTGGGAAGGCGCTACAATCGGTAGTGGAACGGGTGAACCAGGCGGCGGCACGGCGGACCAAGGTAACTGCAGCCCGGGAGGCTCCCCTCCGGAGCACCGCTGCCGTCGCGCCACTCTCGGGGTCCGAAAAAGTCGTGCTGCGGCAGCACGACCCGTTATGTAAGGCTGCCAAACATCTCAACCTTTGGATGGGAGTTAGTCAGGGCTCGCGGCAGCACTTCCATAACAACATGCATGGTTATTGGTGGCAGCGGTCCATGCGTGGGAACAGGATGTGACTTACTCTGAATGCATGCGCGTTGTTGCATAGAAATGATTCCCGTGATTACGGCTAGTAAGTGCAGGCTGTTCATTAACACGAGCACGCGTCTGACCAGCCACAGCTCTGTGGAGGGTAACATTTTCCCCAATGCTCTCCTATTAGAATAGCATCAAGGCTGGTATCTAGGTCAACGCATGTAGGAGAATGCTCAGCATCCTTCCAGCACCACCCAGATGTCTCTCCGTGGGTTGTTACTGAAAATCTAAATGATCTGTAGAGCTGACTGCATGACGATCAGCATCTGAACGTAGCAGCAGCCAGAAGCAATTAGTTCCAGCAGTGTTTATGCAGGATCCGGACAGGGCTGAGTCACTGCTCTCCTCATCTAGCATGCTGCATCACACACTGATCCGCTCCCCTGACATACAGCTGAAAACATGAGCATGTGCTGTCCTTCCTCAGACACTGCCAGCCGTGCCGCCCCGCCTTGTAGCTGTCAGCAAGACCAAACCCCCAGAGATGGTCGTGGAGGCCTACAGACAAGGACAGCGCAACTTTGGAGAGAATTATGTGAGTGGGAAAATGCTACTGGTGTGCATCACTCCAAACTTTCCAAGTGTCACAAACACCAAAAACTCTCAGGGGAATAAAAGTGGTAAATTACGTAGAGATTGACCTCATCCTTTATGTCCACTCCAGGTTAACGAACTGGTGGACAAAGCTTCAGATCCTCTGGTAGGTTTACATGTTTCATCACGTACAGTTGACCTTTGTCTCCACTGCAGTCTGTGACAGATTATCACAGTGTTTCTTTTTCCCTCTTCAAGATTCTAGACTCCTGTCCAGAAATCAAGTGGCACTTTATAGGCCATCTACAGAAGAATAATGTCAACAAACTTTTGGGTGAGTGATTGTCAACTCTCCTGTTCAGGCTGCATGTTAAAGAAAGCTCTGCACTGAGTCTCGTCTTTCCGTTGGACAGGCGTGCCGAACCTGTTCCTCGTGGAGACGGTCGACTCGGCGAAACTGGCTGACAAGGTCAACAGCTCGTGGCAGCGTGTCCGAGGAGGCGGCGCTCAGAGGTTAAAGGTCATGGTGCAGCTCAACACCAGCGGAGAACAGAGTGAGTTGATTTCAGGGCTTTTTATCTTCCCGCTCTTGTTTTGTGATCTGATCACAAACGCTGCGTCTGCTGTGTGTTGTAGGTAAACATGGCCTGCCACCAGAGGAGACGGTGAACACGGTGAAACACATCGTGTCCCAGTGCTCCGCCCTGCACTTCTTAGGACTCATGACCATCGGAAGCTACGGCTACGACCTCAGCCTGGGCCCCAACCCAGACTTCCAGGTACAGACGACTATGATGACAACAATGTGCTTGTGAGAAGAATGCGTTTTAACTTTTTTTCTGTGTGCACCAATTAAAACTAAACTATACATGAGATCAATACCATAGTGAGCTTAAACAGTGATGTTGATCAAATTTTCTAGTTATGATCAGGATTGAAGTTGGTTAAAAGATTTAACTTAATGAAAGTGGAAAATAATATGTAAGTTTATGGCAATTTTTTTAAGCTGACATTTAGTCCTCAAAGAGAGGCACAAGGGTTAAAATACAAAACCGTAGACCGTTAACTCCAACCCTTCCCTAATATTTATATTTTCATTTAACATATAATACAAATATGTGTTCTTTTTAACTGTCAACTCAAGTCAAAACACAGTAACTAAAAAACGAATCACATTAACACTAATCTGAAAACTCAAACTAAACAGAAATAGACTTTTAACAAGAACAATCAATCATTATTAAAATGTATGCATCTCTACTGGAGGTAGAGTAGATAAATACACCCGACACAAACTTCAGTATTGGTGTTTCTATCGGCTGATAAAGAAACTGGGATTGGGTTTGAGATCATTAAGGAACAGCATTTTCCTGATGGGGCCAAATGTCAACGTGTCTCTTAGATGCTGCTGAGTCGGAGGCAGGAGGTGTGTGACGGCCTGAAGCTGCCTCTGGAGGGGGTAGAACTCAGCATGGGCATGTCGACAGACTTTGAACACGCGGTGAGTATCGCTCCTTGTCAGCAGTTATAAGCTCTATTCAAGCACAAATATGGAAGGCATGATGAAGTTGGTTTATGTTTAGCTGATGATGGAGTAGCTAAGGAGTGAGCCTTCTTATATACGTAATTGTTGTTTCACCATTGCACAGCACGGTGGTCCAGACTTGCTGTTTTTAAAAGCGCTCCATAGATTAGATGAACTTGAAACTTGGGCCATCGCACTTCCTTCTGATCTCAGTGGAGAGTTGCACAGCTCAGTGCACACTTGTGAGTCGGGTAAAGATGAAGTGGTAGCGAACATTTCAATTTACCTGGAAACATCTTTTATTTGGGAGGCGTTAGAGAAGATGTGGGCGAAACTCCAACTATGTACAGCTCAGTTTGAGATAAAACATGACCGTTAACATCTTTGTTGTTATTTGAAGACTACTGATAAATAAAACAACTGGTATTGGGCCAAGTAAATATTGGCTTTAGGTAAATAGATTTGTGACCCACTTGCCCAACTGGGCAAATGCATAAAAACATGATCGTTGAACCCTGTATATATTTAGCTGAGTTGTGTACTTGCATTATCCCTGACATGATCCATCTCTCCTCGCCTCCTCCACTTGCATCTCAAGTTGGTTGCACTAAGACACGAGACAAGGAAAGGAATCAAGGAGGCATAAAATCTGGAAATAAGGAAGACCCTCTGTCATCTGTTTTGGTTTTGTTTTGGAGACCCCTAGCAGCAGGAAGTTACATATTGTGTGTTTAAAGGTGCTATATACCGGATTGGCATTTCTACAGCCTCTCAACGGCTCAAGCTAACAGCGCTAACTACAGCAAAGTGCAAAATGTAAGTCATTTGTATATAGTGTTTTGAATTTTCTTTCTGAATTTGTGAACCCAAAACACTTAAAATCAATAGATGGTTTTCAAATGAAAATACCCATGCTGTGAAGTTGGTGGGATTTCAACTATTCAGTTAGTTGTTACATTTTACACTGAGGTTGCTTTTGAGCTTCTTTTTGTTGGCTGCCATTACTTTCGATAACAATGTGATTTGATGCGTGTAAGTCAGAATATCATACTCAATAACACTGTCTAATGTGTCAACTCAAGTTTTTCCCTGTACTCCCATGTATTGAAGATCGAGGTGGGCGCCACCAACGTGCGAGTGGGCAGCGTCATATTCGGCAACAGGGAGTATCCCAACAGTGCTGCCAACACCCCGAACCCCAGCCCAGCCCCCAGCCCCGAGAAAACGAGCAAGAAGGTGTCCGAAGAGGCCGCCAAGAAGATGCAGCGCCTCACTGTGTCTGAACACTAAGAAGAGCGTCCCCCCCTCTGAAGTAACCTTTATGAAAAACAAAAGTCTTCACATGCTAATGAATAGAGCAGTGAAGCAGATCATCTCCACAGAGCCACATGGAGCTAGGATTGCAAAATTGTTGCATCATTTTAAAGTGTAATCCTCTTCACTTTTTTTGTGTGCCCTTCTTGCTCTTTTAAGCATTAAGTGGCATTCAGTACAAACGTAGTTTGACCTTTTTTAAAGTAGTGTGTTACGAACCTTTAGTGCTCTGACTTCCTCCCCATGGAACTCTCTCCTACGAGATTACCGGCTACAAGACAAATGTACAACCACTGAAAACAGGGTGACATGTGGGAAATGATTTCACGGGAGTTACGAGATAGTTGTTGTGCTGACGTGACATTTTCTACCTTTCCAACCCTGATGTGACAGTGCTCGATTGTGTACAGAGTCCCAGAGATCAGGAATTCCATGTTTTTGTTGTACAGATGAAACTGAAGACTTGATTTAATAAATCATTTATTCCTTTATAATGACAGTATTGTGCGTTTGATATCGTTTGTCGTGTCAGATCTCCATTCTTGATATTAACATGAGTAAACCTGAAGAAAAGGGTTTTGTATCTCGTGTCTGGTGTGTGTTTGAGATGAGGGGGAGTGAATCTATGCAAAGTGGCCATTTAGTTTTTGCGCAGCAGCTAGCGTGGCAGTGATCTCTTCAAAGATGTCACGGGTTTGGTGTGTTCTGTCTTCATAAGTGCTTTTAATGTCCGTGATTTTAAAAAAAACAAAGATTGAGGTGTGGTTAGCAGTGTGCTTACTGAGGCGCTTCAGCATCATTTGTTTTGGATTCTGGCTCCCGAGGGAAAGCCAAGCAAATGGTTTTGTTGAATGTTTCTGCCATTGGCTGCGTATTTCTTGTAATGGGGGAAGTGGCACAAATGACACGGTAGTTTGGCTAAAATTTCTTTATTAAGCACATGGAGCTGACATCTGAACCACAATGAAAACAAGTCTTAGCGATGACAATTTAATGCATGAAAAAATGAACACCTGGAACCCACTGACTCAATATATTCCCTTCCAATGTCTCACTAGGAATCTGAATCAGCAGTGTTTCCAAAAGGTATCAAAATGCTGTCCGGCATTGATAAATTAAACCCAAAATAGCTCACGATAATGACGGTAAACTCGTTTAAGCTCAATAAATACGCTCTGACGAAACAAAGAAACCTGGTGACACAATTGGAAAAACGTAAAAGACATTCAATCTGTGTAAAAGGCATTAGAAAACAGTCAATACACCGTTATTTACAACATACAGTAGAATCCTGTTATTAAGAGGCATATCAAACACGGTCTACAGACCTAGCTCTGGTCAAATGTACAGCAGACAGAACTCTAGCTAGAAACTATATACAGTCAGAAGGATGGAAACACTTCATTTAGAACCTCCATTACACATTTACAAGCATTATATAAACACTTCATTCTGGTGTAAGGAGATATAAGGACAATGTTTATTAATGTCAACAATTATAACTTCTTTGAGCATTTGTGACTGATGTATAAACAATGAATGTGTATGAAACATGAGGTATTTATTATTAGAATGATTGTATTAACTATGTATTGTGTTGTATTTACTTAAATCTTCAGCCTCCGACACAACTGAGTCTCTTCCGTTAGCTGCTGAGGCTGAAAGCTCTGGAAGGACTAGTAAGTGGACCTTAAGTTCTGAAGTGAAGAATCTCAACAGGTCTTCATGAGATTAGAACACATCTATAAACATTTCTTCTTGTGTATAAACAGTTAATAGATGTTTCATAACACACTGAGGATTCTTGAGTGTTACCCTACAGCTTTGTTATATTGTGTTATTAATATGTAATTCATCAGCTACAAATGTATTATGGGAGGTTAGAATTGTTCACAAATGCATTGACACTTAAAAATGTCAACGCTGCGCATGACTGTATTACTGTGTGTAATAAACCATTTATTAAGGGTTTATATTATGCATGCTAATTACAAGCTTTAAAGTGTTGTCAAATTGACATGTGAGGAATCAAGGCCAGTATAATATTTGCACATGTGTGACCACTTGATCAACACTGCTGAGAGCCTCCGAGTTAGAAAACCTACAAATAGATCAGATCAGCCTCTCTCAGTGAAACGGACCATATGTATTCATTAAAAGGGACCATATGTATTCATTAAAAGGTGAGGAAACCAAGTATAGACAGCTGGATTAGAGATTATTTGGAATCTATAGAGCGAGCAGCATCGCTTCTTTAAGATCTGGACGGGGGGGGGGGGGGGTCCCCAGAGTTTTTTTTGGTTTAAAAAAATACCTTAAACTGAGTAATTTCCCCTCATTCTCTCTGAATGGTCAGCTGAACATTCATTTGGTGAACTCTAGATTTCCTGCCTTACCTATATGCTGTATGTTATGAAACATCAGACCATTTTGCCTCTTCTTAGGTGGCAGGAGTGAAGATGAGTCATGCTCGTCATTTGATGTTTTACGGTTTCAGGATGACGAAGACAGTTGAGCAATTCTATAAAAAAAATGGGCTCTACAGGATGATGTTTTACCCAAATGATGTAGAGATTTTTAGGCATTCTTTTATCTGAAAATGCTTAGTGCATATAGCTGCCGTGAATGGGAAAAAAAATCTCCCCGTGGGCGGAAGCCCCCAGACCCCCTCGGTTTGGGCTGCTTATATCATCTGGCTCCGCCCAGGTAGCCACATTGGGGCTCTTTGAGTCTGATCAAAGTCTGCTTGGAATAAAAGGCCATGATGGCAATTATATCTGATGGTGTATAGCCCCCCCACATAGATTTATTTTATATATCTCCTAAAAGGCCTGGTAATAAAACTATGTGCAACAATATCAATGACAAAATGTGGCCACATAAAAGCATGTATCAATAAAGCACTGGGTCACTACTTGTAACAGCTTTAACATTCTCATTCCTACATATCTATTGGAGCAGTCACTCCTGTTTGACCATAAAAACAATCCCAGATTACTAATGTCTCTGCTTCTTCTTGACCAGAGGACAGAACACATGACATGTCCAGTGTTATCAGGAGAACACAACAAACACAATGAAAAAAAGGCAATTGGAATGTTGTGCTACTGTGTTGTATAATAACAACAATAGCCTAAAACATTTGTGAGGAAAAGCTCATTATTTAAGGTTGATATGTGCCTCTGTGGATTTGCTCGTACCATTTAGTGGCTGATATCAGGAGCGTCTCCTCCTGGGTGTATCTGCACTGTAGGGTGGGGCGTCTCTCCATTCCGGTCCGTCAAGTCCGTCTACTTGTGTTTATGTTGATCCCCAACGCTGCCGACGTTACACCAGTTTCTTGGCCTCAAAGAAGCTTTTGAGGTGCTTCATCTGCCAAATGCCGATGACGAGGAGGATGAGTGTCTGAGCGATGGACCACCAGAGCACACGCTGGTTGGTGCTCTCGCTCGTCATGCGAAACCGCTCCTCGCGATACTGCAGAAGACACCAATGAAGTCACAAGAGAGGTCATTAACAGCAACTGTACCCAATCAGCCATGGAGTGAACCTGTCACCTCACACATTACTTAGGCTGGTTGCACCAACACCGATTCATTCTCAAACCTGATTAAATGATGGTTTCACTTTAAATCATGTTGCACTAAACTTTCTTAAAATGAGGAAATATTCCCTTTAAAGTCAATTTTCAGTAATTGTTCTGCCCTCAGGACTGGGGAATTAGCGCCCCCTCCTGGGCCCTTTAGGTTGTGTTGTTAATTTGCATTTATTTTGACATGCACTCTGACATGGAACAGGAAGTTCGCCACATGCGGTAGTTTTAGGTAGATGGTCTCAGAAAATCATCCGCTGCCATCCATCATGTGTTTACGCCTTCGAAAGCACAGTCTGTAAGTATTTGTTTAGCACAGACCACAGAATAGTATTTTAGTAATACTTTCTTCTTAAGTATATTTGTAAAGGTTAATTTTGTATCCGTAGCCAGTTGTTGTTACACTATACGTTTGACTGCTACAGAAGCGTAGGAGATGCATAAAGTTAAATTTGTAGTGTGTAATTCATATGCATATTGCTCATTGTGTCCTTCTGTTTGTTTTAATTTTACTCTTATTTAATTCGTGTACGTTGTCAAAAAAGACATCTTCGGTAATACTGTTCCGCAGTTTCTTCGGGTCCCATGGGTTGGTCCGTCACATGGGCCAACCACAGTCTCTTCGCTTCATCATTTGTGGAGCTGGACTTCACCATGAGCCACTTCTGCGTCAAGTATTCTTGTACCGACTCCTTCGGGTCTTTCTTCGCCACCATAGCCTTGATCTTTTTGAACTCGTTAAAGCTCTGGGTGGAGGCTTGCATCTCTGTTAACCCGACGTTTCCTTCAGTTGTGGCAAGGTTGTTGCTTCGTTTTGAGCCCGGCCCCGCTGCCGGCTGCTCTTCTTCGCTGTCCGAGATGTCTTGTTGCCGCGCCTTTTCTTCTTCCTGGGCCAACTTGAAGGCTGCTTTCTTCAACCGTCGTAGCATAACATCATACACTACTGCCAGAAAGCCCGTGCGGAAATTACTTGTCAGCTTTGTGCAGGCTGCGAGGGAGCCGTAGGTTGGGGTCATCAGAAAATTCGCCCATTCTCCTTTTGTGGCGTATACCATTACCCCCTTCATTCCCTCGAGGTCGTGTGTCCACATCTCCGGAACATCGTAGCCTGTTTGACCAACTTCTGGAGCATAGGCTTGTCTCCCGTCCTTGGTCGTCATGGGCCCATATCGGTCATCTCTGGCCAGGCCCCGTGAAGCCGAGTACACCGACAGAAGGGGCAGTGGGTTCTTTGGGCCATTCGATTGAGGTCAGGCTTGGCACCGTCTCTTCTTCATCTGACTCGTCTGAGTCGTTGGCTGCGGAGTCTGACTCGCTCTCTTCCTCTGGTGGTGGTGTGAGGGGCGCTGGATGGGTCGCTTCGGGTGTCCTCACCGGTGTTCTGAGACTTGCCCCACTTTGGCCCCGACTCATGAACCTTATGGACCCTTCTCCGGTACTTTTGTATTTCATTCTCTGCAGACCTAAGGATTCTGCTGGGCTTGTCCCCGCGTTTTCTGATCGTCTTGTCACAGGAGTCTCTACCTCGGTTTGCACTGCTACCCCTCTTGAGTTGGCGGTTGTTGTTTCTTTCTTCCTCGAGGGTTTCTCCTGGCTCGTGCTGGTGCGTGGTGATCTCATCTCTCGGCTCGATGGTCCAGGTGTCAACTCTAGGTAACTCCCCCCTTCATCCTCTTCCTTTCGTGGGTCTGGTTTTGAGGGGAGCCGGGGTCGCACTGCCCTTGCAATCGGCGCTTCTTCGTCTTCGGGCTTTCCTGCCCTCCAGTTGTTGGGTCCTTCAGTCATCAGGAGGGGTCTCAGTACCCTCTCCTTCCTCTCCTGGTATTGCGCTACCGAGGTGACGATGACCAACTCTTGGATATGACTCCAGCTGTGTCCGACTTTCATCAGTTGGTTCATAACTCTCATGGCCGCTTCTTCGGCCACTTACCATGGTAGGCCGCCGGACCTGGTACCGTCGATGCAAATGACAACCCTTTTGTATGTCAACTCACTGGCTCGGTCTACTCCTTCTGCCAGTGCTTCCTCTAGGTCATCCCGGTAGGCGTCCAGGTTGTTTCCCCCCTGGTACCCTTCAATTGGTACATGCAGTATGGCAAAGTAGGTTGATTCTCCCCCACTTGTAACAACTACTGATGTTTTCTTTTTCCGATAGCTGTTGAGCCTTTCTTCAACCTCTTTTTTGTACAGTGCTCCTCCTTGGCGCATCAGCGCTTTTCTGAACCGGCTGAGATGAGGTTTCAGATTGGAGTTGGTCAAGACTACCAATCCATGGCCCTCCAGGTCCCAGGGTTCCCCGAAATGATTGTAGGCTGTTATCCCGGTCTGGTTGGCATACTTCTTGGTGCCATCGGGCATTTTCTTTAGCGGCGGGAGGAGATCGTCTTGTCGCGGAACATTAGGGTGCTTCTTTTTCCCCGTCTCTTTCTTGTGCTGCTCCGGCTCTTGGTTGTCCACGCCCTCTAGTGTCTTTCGCACTAGAGTGGGGATCCCTAGAGTAAAGGCCGATGAGTGTGCGAGTTGTTTTCCGCTTCTGCTCAACAGCGAGTCTTCCTCCTCATCCGCTTTTCCTTCTTTTGAATCGTCAGACTCACTTTCGGACGAGGCCTCCGCTGGGGTTTCAGTCCCCCCACGTGGCTGAAGGTTTCGTCTTCTGGTTCGGCATAACCGTCCATGCTTTGTACATAGCGAGCTATGTCGTCTCGCTCTTTTTGGTTCTTTGTAGCGGGGTGTAGCCTTTACCGATGGTTTTATAATGACTTCACCCGCTCCTATTTCTGCTGCCAGCATTTTTACAATGGCATCAAAATCTGGTGAGGGGCTTATCATGGTGACGATTCTACCCGTGAGGGTTTGAAGCACCAATAGCCACCAGGCCAGCCATTCTCCCACTTCTTTCTTGGTTTTCGGCCTTTTCGGCCGATCTGGACACCGTACCACCGCTACAGCCATCCCTGAGAGGAGTTGGAGTATGCGAAGAGCGGATTTCTCTCCGGAGAAAAAGAGATAATACAATGGAGAGAATTAAAAAACGACTGCGTGGTCTGCATGATGCCGACCACCCTGATTGTTCAATGGGAGGGACCCGGGAACCAGAAACCGGTTCGGGTTACCGGGAGAAGAAGAGAGTTCAACAGTATGCACCATAAGCCGGTGAAGGTTATGGATGCCTACGTTTGCGGCATGTGCCGAGTGGAGATGTTGCCCAGGTTAACCATCATCACCCAGTGGGACCTACGAGGGGAGAAGCCAAGCTTTAGGGACTGCTTCTGCCAGTGGGACGGGGAGCGGCTGCACCTCTGTGGATCATGTGCCCTTCTCCAAAGAAACGGGAAAATGGTGCAGGCTGGTATGGCAGAAGGATGGCAGGTGAGAAAGTTCATTGAGCCCCTACAGACCCTGGCACCAGCCTCATGGGACTCTCGGGCTCCTGAGACTTTTCTTGAACCAGTTTGTGAAGAGTCCGGGGTACCCTCTGCACCATCTCTGGACCAATTGGATGAAGAACCACTGGACGATGGTGAGGGCCGGAGCGCTGGACCAAGGGGAACTTGGAGAGAGTCAGTGTGGAGGAATTGGCCATACAGCCCAGCCCAGGCAGAGATCGTCTACCCACCGCTGGCTGCAGTGCAGGTTCCTGCTGCCTTCAGAGTTTATCGCGACCCTGATGGACCAGGGTATAGCTCGCTGGCAGCTGAGTTGCCAGATTGCAGACGAGACATGGCGATAACCCACGGCTGGATGGGGCCCTGGGAGCTCACTTCCTGGAACCGGTTAATAGAGGAAGTTTTCTGTGACCAAAATGCCCAGGTACAGGAACTAGCCGGGGTGCCAAGAGAAGACGGAGCCCGGGGCACGAATCTCCATTATCGAGTCACCAACCTGGATGCTTTTGGCCACTCAGGGGCCAGGGCAAAAGAAAAAAGTAAGATCTTTACGATCACCCCGGAGGGGTGGCAAAGAGAAGGAGTCATACAAATACCCGGTTCATGGGCGGCTAGAGCGGCTACGCCCACATGGCCTGAGCGGACAATGCGCGTGATGGTGACGGTGAGGACCGTGATGGTCCCATTCGTCGGCGTATTCTCCCTTGGGGTTGTTTTGACCAGAGCGGACGAGGCGTGGCCTCCACCGGAACAACGCGCAAGATCTAGAGGGTTTAAAGCCTGGGCCCGGAAGGCGTTTCACAAGTCAAGCTCTGGCGGAAGAAGAGATAGAAGCAAGAGCGAGTAGAAGCATAATTGAAGAAAAAGGAAGTTGATTGTTGCAATGTCGCACCCAAACCAAAAAGGCAAACAAGGACGGAAAAGGAAAAAGATTTCCTCTGATCCCAACACACCAGTAAGACCATATATTAAATTACCTAATGAAAGAGTCTACCTCGACAAACCAAAGAGATTTTTTATACAGAAAAGGATTCTGTGGATCCGGAGCATATTTTTGCAGCAATGGCGAGTACCAAAGATCCCCAGACCTACGGATACCAGGGAAAGGAGACTTACGAAGGACCTTACGGAACGGCTGGGAGCTCCAGTACGATAGAGTTTTAGTCATGCTGACTTGCCCATGGTTGATGCAGCCGGTTCCCTGTTGTCCTGCCTCGTCTCCCTGGATCTTGAACACCACTCGCCTAACGGTGAAAGGGAAACATCTGAAATTAAGGTGGGGACCTAACTACGCTGACCATTTGCAAGATGAATATGTCGAGATTTGGCTGGGTGAGGAGGTGATTTGGACGAACAGCCCAATTATGCGGCGCCGAACGGCTCTGCACGTTAAAAACAAAAAACGTTGTGTCATTGAGAATCACGACATGAGGTTACACACTGTCCATTACTGCCTGCCTAGTCCAGGCCCGCTAAATCCGAATCCAGACCTACGGATG